CGCCTGCCCATTGAAGTCAATGGCGGTTCGGGCGGTTCGCCGGTTCGCGAACATTTGCGGAAGTTCGCGTTCGCCGTTCGCGAACCGAAAATTTCGGGTTCGCGACATCACTACCCACCACATCTGCCTTTACATGAATAATCCTGACTACAGAAAAGCCTGCAATTCTTTCCCTTTGACCCCTTAAGGACTGGACTGTTTTTGCGATGTTGTACATTTGCGACCAGGCCTCTTTTTACACTTTTGTGGTGTTTGTGTTTAGCTGTAATTTTCTGCTCTCTCATTTACTGTTCCCATACAAATTATATATTGTTTTTTTCAGGACTAAAAGGGCTTTCTTTACATACCATTATTTATATAATCTCATGTAATTTAATTTTAAAAAAATAAAAAAATATGATGCTAAATTGAAAAAAATACATGTCTTTTGACTTTTACTTGAAAAATCTTTTACTCATCTACAAAAGCTAATGAAAAATAAAATGCTAAATAGATTTGAAATTTTGTCCTGAGTTTAAAAATACCCAGTGTTTACATGCTCTTTTGCTTTTTTTTGCAAGTTATGGGGCTATAGGTACAAGTAGGATATTGCAGTTTCAAAACATACATTTTTAAAATTTATCAATAGTGACATTGTAACACTATTATCTGTCATAAATCTCTGACTAACACCCCACATGTACATATTTTTTTTTAAAGTAGACAACCCAGGTTATTCAATAAGGGGTATGTCCAGTCTTTTTTAGTAGCCACTTAGTCGAAAACACTGGCCAAAGTTAGTGTTCATATTTGTTTGTGTGAAAAAAGTAAAAAACTTAATTGAACGCTAATTTTGGCCAGTGTTTGTGACTAAGTGGCTACTAAAAAAGACTGGACATACCCCATTTGCAATACTTTGGGTTGTCTTCTTTTGCAAATGGTATGCCATCATGGGGGTAATTCTCATTCCGGGGCTACCATACGCTCTCAAAGGCAATGTAACCAACCTGGCCTTTTTCAATGTAAAAATATTTGACCCATATATTTGACCCTGTAACTTTCAAAAACACTATAAAACCTGTACATGGGGGGTACTGTTATACTCAGGAGACTTTGCTGAACACAAATATTTGTGTTTCAAAACAGGAAAATGTATCACAACAATTATATCATCAGTAAAAGTGCTGTTTGTGTGTGAAAAATGCAAAAAAAAGTCACTTTCACTGACAATATCATCGCTGTGATATGCTTTACTGCTTTGATTCACTAATATTTGTGTTCAGCGCAGTCTCCCGAGTAAAACAGTACCCCCCATGTACAGGTTTTAGGGTGTCATAGAAAGTTACAGGGCAAAATATAGTGCTAGCAAATTAAATTCTCTGGACTTTCGGCCTGGGTTGGCAGGCAGGTCCCTCAAATTGTAATCAATAAAATTACTTAATTATGCAAAAATATTACATAAATACGCACGTAGAAATTAAATATACATGCATATTTATATATTTGAAGTCTACGTGTATATTTATATAATTATTTATGTAATTTTGTATATGGACATATGTATATTTCGTATTATTTGTATTTATTTATATATACATAGATATATATATGTAAAATCTAGATGATTGATATATATACACGTCTTTTGTATATATAGTCTTGGGCCAAATGCTCGCCACAATAATATATGTCTATATTATTGAAAAGTACTAATACGCAATCTGACGGTTTCTTCGGGTTTATTCTTAGTTGCGATACATAATAAAACAAAGGATGATGTTACAGGATAATGGACATTCAACAGCAGATGGCAATTGCTGGACTTCTTTACAACCTTACATTTTTACATCGAGAGAGAGAGAGCCAGAGAGCCCAGAGCCAAGAGCCACGAGCCAAGAGCCGAGACAGAGCGACCTCGTGTCCCTCTGTTACTATAAAGATGTGCTAATACTAACGTCAGCATTTAACTCTAGCCATATAAGGACAAAACCCCCACATCCACATTCCAGAGCTCTCGGACAAAGAAAGCCTTGTGACTTATACCATCTGTTACTTATGTCAATCCACACATCCATATAAAATCAATAGAAACATAAAATATGCAATATTCTACATTCCCTCTGTTTATGGTTTGTTTTAAAACCATAACACAATGTCACTGACCTGTCCATTCATACATCACTCATATCACATTCATTGAGCATAGAACAAGAAGTAGTCACAACTTTCTAAGTTCTTAGAAGGTCGAGTTTCTATCACTCATACTGCTTACTTTACTTCAAACTCCCTCTGTTTCAGCTATGTATTGATATCCATATCCATGTTACATCATAACTACTTGAACATAATATGTACATATATATATATAACAATAATAAATGAATAAAATAAAATATTTACAAATGATGATTCAATCAGAAAGATCTAAGATCTGCTCAGGTACAGTCATGTCTTTGTAGACAACAAAATCAAGATCGTAACTTTCTAAATAATAACTGTGTATCACTATCATACTCCTACAGAAACATATAGCATAGTATTTTCATTCTCAATACCTGATATTACTTAAGTACTAATACATGTATTACTATAATATCCTGTCCAATTATATTTCCATGACTCATATGGTTTCTAGCAACCTTAAAATATTTAGGTCATTTGTATTCATGACTTACATTCCTATACCATTAATACCACCTAGTGATAATTGTATCAGTACTTTACAATCATAGTATTTAATTTGTATATTCAGTAGGCTCTCATTATGAAATATATCAACACTACTTATAAGACTCATAATAGTTTGCAAACCTTCAAAGGTTGTGTTGTTATCAACCATGAAGTTTTATAATAATTCTTCAAATAATGTTCATGTTGTTGACAATACTCATTGTCCTAGAAATTCTCCACCCAGAAATCTTTCTATCATAGATTTGTTTTTGTTTACATAATTATAATTTTCACTAAAATTCCACCTTGTAGTAACAAATTTTTCATTCAACAGAAACATGGTTTACTTTAAAAGAACTTGGAAAGAATAATTTAAATTCATTAGCATCACTCTCTTCATTAGCATTGTGATGACTTATTAATGTAATACATCTTAAAAGCAGGATTGTCCTAATGTTCTTACCAATCCATATTCCTTAGTACACTTCAACTGACTAAAATAAAATAAAATAAACTTGGGGTCATACTGCCCAGAAACTCTTATTCCTAGTCTGTATCTAACAAACTCAGGGTAATCATAAAACAACTTAACAACATATTCATTTCATTGGATACCATCATATCCAGAAACCTATTCTCCCTAGTCCATCCTTTTATAGACTTAGGTCAAATATAATTGTGTACTATACTCTTAACTAAACTTCAATTCAATTTCTCTTGGATCTCTGAACTCTTATATCCAAGGCCTTCTTAATGTATATAATTACTTAATATTAATCAATATAAATTATCCTTCCTTAGTTTTCTTCCTTATGTTACCATTGTTTGTTTTACTTCACCTCGATTATAAACAAAATTACTTATTCTAGTAAATCTATGAAATACTATTGAACTCAATCTTTGTGGTATTAAGTAACCATGATCCTTATTTTATCAACTTCATATTTTATCTGCCTCTGATACTTCTCATTCT